CTTGAGAGTTTTCATTTAGGGCGGAATGAATAAAATTAACGTAGGATACCAAATTAGTCTCAGTCGATCGTCCGGGCAAGAAACCGTGTTGTTCATGAATAAAAGAGTGAGTAATCGACTGGCTAAAGTATTCCTGGACAATTTTCTCAAAAACCTTGGGAATAGCCGAGAGATTTAAAAATTGGGACGACGAAAGCCGTCTTCCACTTGCTCGGAAATGCCCCTTCAAGTAATGACTTCGAAAAAAATAAAAACAGGGGTGAAGCAGTTCACTAGCAAACTCCTTTAGGAAGGATGAAGGAATACCATCTGGACCTGAGCTAGATGACTTGTCAAGGTGTGACAGAATGTTAAGAACCGCATCCACAAAAAACCAAGCTGTAACACCCGTGCCACTGGGAATCCCTGAACGATCGATGGTGCCATCTACAAAACCCGACGAGAAGTACTCTCCGAACGCAGATGAGATATCAGGACCCGAGTTCACAGTCGATCCATTAGCAGAAATCATGGATGCTGGCATGCCAGACGCAGAACCCTTTTTCGAATTAATGAAGGACCAGATCTCCCTCAGGTTCCTGGACACCCCCGCCTGAACGGAATTCAGATAGGCTCTGTGATCAATAGCTATTAAACTCTTTGATCTAGATCGTAAGATAGCGAAAGTCAAGTAATCATTGTGATGACCTGAGGATTTCCATTTTTTGTGAAAACGTAGCTTCTCTTTAACAACTCTAATGGTAGAGCGTTTGTACCAATAAGGAAAGCGTTCTCTGGGTAAGGCGCGCATAGGAACATCTTTATTAATTATATAATTAACGCGCTCATAAAACGCCTCAACCATGCTCTCTACGTTCATCCCTGCAAAGACAGACCGCCATTCAATCCTATTCAAGAAATTTCTTATATTTCCAGAATTAGCCTTATTAAAGAGACGGCTAATTTTAGGCTCATCATTCAAATAAGTTACGATACGGGATAAAAAAAAGATTCAAAGGGTGGATGGTGACTGTCGGGATCCACAAGTGGATCCATGCAGGGATAGATGCTCTCAACGCGTCCATTAGCGCATAATATAAGATCTAAAATTCTAGAATTATTATTCAAAACATTATTAAATTGACCAAAATTACAATATGAACGACGATCGGACACTCCCAGGGGCATCAACGCGCAATCACCCTCGGACGCAGTCCATGAAATCGTTGGTAGTAGGTTGAAGTCACCTACAATAATAATCGGTAAATCCGGATAGGTATCACGCACGGTAGACACACTGGACAAAAACACATCTAGAGCCTCGTCGGCAGTGGGACGGAGGTAAACACAACACAAAAGAAAATGCGCTTGACCGCACTGCACCTTTAGCCACAGGTCCTCAGCATCGCTATGGAGATTCGGCATAGGAACGGAATGAATACCATGGTGGGTAGCAATAAGAACTCCACCACCGGACATTCTGGTAATAGAAGCTAAAATCCATAAACAAAGGTGACAGGTTCAAAAAACATAACAAATAGAGAAAAACAAGAAATCTATAATTGCTTCAAATCGGCCAAGGACTTAATAACCAATAATCTTGCTTTGTCATCCCGTCTCACATGGATCACACATCCCTTCGTCCAGACATATTTATAGTTTTTCTCTCTTGCGATTACTCGAGCTTTATTAAAAAGATCCATATTTTTAGCTGTGAGATGTTCGTTAATGTACAATTTCTTATCAGCGATATCCGGCAGTGACAAACCGCGGCCATTAGTGTTCCGACTATACATATAATTTGTCCGCGCCAAGAACACGATCCCGAGTCATTCTAGATGTAAACTTAACAATAATGGACTTAACGCGTGGTTTATCTTTTTCAAGGGATGGTCTATGAGGCAAGCGGTGGATGGCATCAAAATCGGAAGCTGCAATGGGAGAGTTGATGGTCGCAGCAATGGTTGATACAATAGCAGAAAGATTTTCACCTTCACGTTCAGGAACTCCCGAGATAATCAAATTATTGTACCGCGAATACTGTTCCAAGTGATCAAGACGATTCTCCACCGTGACTAGATCGGCCTTAAGCTTTGTATTTTCGGTGGCCAGTACGTCGACCTGCTTGATTTTATCGCTAAAATTGTTTAGGGTCCGTTCAAAATCCGTGATCTTGTCCCCGTAGAACGAAATAGACTTCTTGTATTTTTAATAAACAAACTTTATCTACAAATCATTTTTTATCAGAACAAAATCAGGGATAAGACAATGAGAAATTTAAATCAACTATTCAACGTTTATATTCGTTGGTACAAAACCAACTTTATCCTGTATAATGGTACAAGACCAACTTTCTGTCATATTCGTACAAAACCATACAGCAATTAGGTAGTAATTACTGTCCAACCTGTACATATTTGTCGGCACGGCTACACACATACGCTAGGTGTATCTGGTTGCCTATCTTTTCAACAAAAATGTTTTAATTTAACTCCTAAGTCCGAATTTTATTTCGTACAGTTTTAAGCAATGAGTTATTCACGCTTCTTATGGTAAGAACTATACAGGGTGTTCGGTATCTTCCGCATCAGAGCATTATACGGTTGTAGGATACATTATTCGATCTTTCTAATAATTTTTTTTTTGAAATGTTTATAATAACCGCAAGGAAACTGTTTAAACTAATCCGCTATTGTCCAATAGCGGACGACTTTGATTCACCGAAAAAGTTTATTTCTCTTCCCGTGTCGAATCTATTGGTAAGTACACGTGAGAAACGTGTTTTACTGTATATCGTTTATTGTATTGTACTTGGTTCATCCCAATCAACAAATATGTCATCGATTTTGTTCCATTTTTCCAAAATAATTTTATTGTTACAGAATCTGTAGTAATCTTTGTCTTGGGGTGTAACAGCCGCTGTTGCAATTTATTCCTCTCCTTTTTATGACATTCACTCATTCTTCTCTCATTATAATGGATTATAAGATATCTTCTCATATCTCGTAACTGTCTCATCCACATTACCTATCTCCACACGTTTTCTCTTCTTGTGAATGCCTTCATCTCCATGTATCTTGTATCTTAGTCTTTGTTCCACTGCATACTTATTACCCAAAACATGACTTTTATGTTAATTTAATTGAAAAAATGTCCATCAATTGAACAAGATAATGAAATTAGTTATTAGATATCTATTGTTGCGACTCTCGTTCATAGATGTCGTTAGTGAGAGATCGAAGGGACACACGTGTCGAGTTGTTACCCGCGAATGTGGGGATCAGTCCGTTACGAGCAGCGATGATGGATGGTTCCAAGCTTTATATTTGTGTCAAAGAAAATAAATTAATACAAAAATAGAAGCTTTTCATTCAACTACATACAGTCCACAACATTTGGTCCTACGAACCGGATACGGGAGCAGTTTTCCGAAGAAATTGGTTATTGCATCATCATTTAACGACAATTTGGCGCCATAGCCACAGCATTCGAGCCGGTCAACGTCAGTCCTTTTTCTTTCTTTCCTTATCAGTCTTTCATCACAATGGAAGATTTACTCAAAAAACGAACTCTTATAAAATCTAAAATAACGAGATTCGAAACATTTTTAATCAACCAAGCAAACCAAAAACCAGACGAATTAAAGGTTAGGTTGGATAACGTCGTTAATTTATTACCCGAATACGAATGCATTCAATTCAAAATCGAATCACTTGATTCAACACAAGAAAGCGATAGAAAGGTATTTGAACTCGCTGATCCTGATTTTCATAAACCCAACGGCGTAGATATTTTGCTAGGTGCTTCAGTTTTCTTTGAACTACTGTCAATAGGACAAATCAAATTGAATGGAAATGAAGGACCCATACTCCAAAAAAGAAAACTTGGTTATATAATATCCCATTTGCGTTGAATTGTAACTTTTATTTTCTGATCACTCGTAAAACCATTAATGAGAATACTGCATTATTGAAATCTTTGGAGAGATTTTGGGAAATCGAGGAATCACGGAAGGTTAACCATTTATCTCCTGAAGACTTGGAGGTTGAGACTCACTTTCGTAACACTTATCAAAGAGAAACGGATAGTCGTTTTCAAGTTTCGTTGCCATTGAAGGACAATCCTCAAATTCGCAAACAACTCAGAATTGAAGAAAGAGTACACTAAATTTATGTCTGATTACGAGTCATTGGGTCACATGTCTGAAGTTGGAGCGGATGAATTGGGAAAATGGGATACATCGAATGAAGTAGTAGATTACGTTCCGCACCATTGTGTTCTTAAAGTGTCTACTAATTGTAAGTTGAGAGTAGTATCTGACGCGACCTCAAAAACGTCATCAGGATTTTCTCTAAACGGTTTGCTCAGGGTTGGACATGTGGTTCATGTGATATCAATAATCTTGAGATTTCGACTATATAATTATGTGTTAACTGGGGATATTGCTAAAACGTACCGGCAGGTGAATATCCACCCAGAGCAAAGAAATTTGCAACGAATATTAAGGCGTGACAATTCGAATGATACAATCAAACATTTTACGTTGAATACAGTTACTTATGGGACCGCTATAGCGTCTTATTTAAGTACGTGTTGTTTATATCAATTGGCAAGAGATAACGAGATTGCTTATCCTGACGGTGCTAGATCTATTGATCATGATTTTTATATGGATGATCTATTAACGGGTGCAAATTCTGAGCAAGAAGTATTACAATTAAAACAGGAAATTTCAGGGATTTTGAGTCAAGGCAAATTCGAATTACGAAAATTTAATTCTAATAGTCACAAGGTTAATAACAACAATGAGTTGACAGAGGAAATTCCAGAAATGAAGACTACAAATTTAGTGATGACCCGAAACACCAATTTTTGATAGATATTCTAGTTGGTCGAAGTTGCAGAAGGTGGTTGCTTATATTTTGTGTTTTAAGTCAAATTGTTCCGAAAATAAAGACACAAAGGGTCGAGGAGTTTTGACTATTGAGGAATTGGAGAAGAGTAAAAGGTTATTGGTCAAAATGGCTCAAGAACAAGAATTTAGGGAGGATATATCCAATTTAAAGGCCAAGGGAATTAAACTGTCCAGTAAGTTGAAAACTTTAGATCCATTCTTAGACGAAGATGGTCTTTTGAGAGTGGGTGGTAGATTGGCAAACACTGATTTAATATTTTCACGTAAACACCAAATAATTTTAGCCTTTAAACACAAGTTAACTGAATTAATCATTCGACATAAACATTTGGAAAATTTACATGCTGGCGTTCAAACTCTTCTTTCGATTATAAGACTTGAATATTGGCCTATAAACGGAAAAAATGTGATTAAAAAGATATTACGTTCATGCACAATTTGTTTTCGAGTAAACCCTAGATTCATTTTTTCAAAGATGGGTATGTTGCCCAAAGAACGAACAACACCAGTACGACCAGTTCGACCATTTACGAATGTAGGTGTTTATTATGCCGGTCCTATACTAATCAAGGATGATAAATTAAGAAACCGAAAGTTCATTAAGTCCTACGTTTGTTTGTTTGGCTACGAAGGCATCACATTTAGAGTTGGTAACTGATTTGACATCTGACACATTTCTAAATGCATTTAAAAGATTTGTGGGTCGACGAGGTTTGTGTCGATGCTTATATTCCGATAATGCTACTAATTTTAAAGGGGCTAAGAATTTAATGTATGTTAATTTAAAATATCTAGCTAAGGATCCTGATATTTCAAATTATTTTCGTGACAAAGCCCTCACTTTGGTGGGATTTGGGAAGCTGCGGTTAAACGGGTTAAGTATCATTTAATGAGAACAATTGATGATGAAAGACTAACCTATGAGACCTTTTCCACAGTTTTGATCCAAATTGAGTCCATCGTAAATTCAAGACCTTTACTTCCTTTATCCTCTGACCCTCAAAATTTAGAATTATTGACTCCAGGACATTTTTTGATTGGCACGGCCTTATTGGCAGTTCCTAGAGTAAATGTTTCAGAAATTCCTGCTAACCGATTAACAAATTACAAACATCTCCAAAAATTACACCAATCATTTTGGAAAAGGTGGTCATTGGTGTATTTGCATACTCTACAACAAAGGACGAATGGAGATTCGACCGAGAAGATCTTGTCAAAGTTGGAAGTATGGTTCAGCTTAAAGATGACAACCTCCCCCCATGCAGTGGAGAACAGGAAGAATAGAAGAACTTCATCCTGGTCCAGACGGAAAGGTTCGTGTGGTGAAGATCCATACTTCAGGTGGAACTGTGTCTAGAAGTGTACATCGAGTTTGTGTTTTACCAATAGAAGAACAGTAACTGACTTTATATATTATATTTTCTTAAGTTTCTTTGTGTTATTTTTCTATCTTTTGAAAAATAACTCTTTCAAGGCGGGAGTTATGTTGCGACTCTCGTTCATAGGTGTCGTTAGTGAGAGATCGAAGGGACACACGTGTCGATCAGTCCGTTACGAGCAGCGATGACGGACGGTTCCAAGCTTTATGTTTGTGTTAAAGAAAATAAATTAAAACAAAAATAGAAGCTTTTCATTCTACTACATACAGTCCACAACACATCTATTAGTCATTATTTGCCATGAGGAATAAATCTTCAAGTTTATGCGTATAAGTTGAGAATCTGTACATACAGGGTATGTACATATTTGTCGACACGGCTACACACATACGCCAGGTGTATTTGGCTGCCTATCTTTTCAAAAAATGCTTTAATCTAACTCCTACGTTCGAATTTTATTTCGTACAGTTTTAAGCAATGAGTCATTCGCGTGTCTCGTGGTAAGAACTATATATCGTTTATTTTATTATACTTGATTCGTCCCAATAAACAAATATGTGATCGATCTTGTTCCATTTATCCAAAATAATTTTATTGTTGCAGAATCTGTAGTAATCTTTGTATTGGGGTGTAACAGACGCTGTTATAATTTATTCCTTTCCTTTTTATGACATTCACTCGTTCTTGTCTCATTATAATGGATTATAAGATATAAGTATCTTCTCATATCTCGTTAACGTTTTCTCTTCTTGTGAATGCCTTCATCTCCATGTAAACATCTTAGTCTTTGTTCCACTGCATACTTATTACCCAAAAAGTGACTTTTAAGTTAATTTAATTGAAGAATTTTCCATCATTTGAATAACATAAATGAAATAAATGCGATACCTCAATTTACATTAGTAATTATCTATTTTATCTAGTATATAAAAAAATTATATAAAATTTATTAAAAAAATAAAAATAAATAAAAGATGATATAAATTAAAATTAGTATTTTTTAACAATTTGCGCAATCAAAATCGTGTTGATAAACGCAATAAACCACGATCCAATTGTAAACGACAAACATCGAGTTCAATAATTGATGTTTTCGCAGTTCGAAACCTACAGAGTACATTTTTAAAAAAAGTACGGCAAATTCCGAGACAATTACGATTCCATAATAATAAAGTAATGGTAAAAAATACTCGTAATTTTTCTAAAACAAAACAAAATATAAGATTGTAACGATTTATGCTTTTTTATTTAAATTTACCCATGTCATTCCAATGATTAAAAGTCCATAAAATTCTAATGATAGAATTAGTGTTAATAATTTTAAGTCTCTTTCCATTTCCGGGGTGACCACACTTCCGGTTCTTAAACGCGCCCTCCATAAAACGCACGGTAAAGTTCTTCCAGCTTTTAAAACGCGTAAAAGATCGATAGCACTAAGAATCTTAGAAAAAATATTACTTAAAGAAAAGATTTTTTTTTTTTTGAATAATTTTATGGTTTAATTATTTTTAAACTTACAACTCCCAATAAGCCCAAGGCTACAACGTAGCTTTCCGTGCTTTGAAACCAAGGTAAAGCACATATTTTTCCAACCACCGTTCGTTTTTTAAATGGTCTATAAAAAAAATAGGGCAACATTTTTGTGCATTTTTTTTCTTTTCGATGTCACATTGACGTTTTCAAATTAATTAAAATTAATCAATTTTGACAATTTTCTCAAAATCAGCAACTTTATTAGTTAAAAACCAAAAACACAATTTATTAGAATCTATATCACTTCCAATCTACAATAAAATTAGACTGTGACCATCCCAGAATCAATTCTAAAGCACTGATATCAGACGCCAACGACCACCCCTTATCTATTGAATATTACAACTTTTTCTGCCACCGTTTATTATTAGACTTATCGAAGAAAAAAGAAGATTATATCGCAACTTCATATTGTTAGAGATCCTTGAGCTGAAGAGAAGGTTAATGACTTTAATAAAGACGTTCAAAAGCTAGTATTGTAACAAAGGGAAAAATTTGTCGAAGCGCGTAAATTGATTTATCTCACTGAAAGCCATTCAAGAGATTGGAGCAAATTATCATTTATCAGGAAATCCAAACTACTGGCCTATTGATGTGGAGAAGAGACCTGATTTATTGGACTTCTTTATATCAAAGAAATGTTCACCCAATTTTCTGCAAGTGTATGATAACTACGACCTAGCTTCGGATCATACAGCAATGGTACTGACTTTAAGTGAAAAGATTATTGAAAAGGAAAGAAAACCAACTCTGACGAATGGTATAATGGATTTGGAAAGCTTTAGATTGCAACTTGAAGGAAAAATGTGGTTGAGCGTTCAACTGAACACTAAAGAACAACTAGAAGATGAAGTGGAAAACTTTGTACGAGATATTCAGCGTGCAGCATGGAATAACACAAAAGAACTGAAACGTAAACGATCACCCTCAAGAAATTAGAAAACTAGTTGCAGAAAAGAAAACCTAGGAGAACATGGCATCAGACCAGACATCCATTCGATAAAAGTAGATTCAATAATCTAACACAACAATTAAAACAAGAAATAAAAGAAGATAAAGGAAGAATCGGTCAAGAAATATACCGATAAATACCTTACTGAGTTAATCGCCGATAAGGGAGTGATTATTCATTATGGAGAGCAACAAGAAAGCTCAAACGTCCTATCACTCAAAATCCACCACTCACACAGGAAAAAATATAAAGTAAAAATCAACTCTAAAACATGGTTCAGATCGGTCCAATATACAGGTCATCCACGACGACCGTTCATTAGAACTATACGGGGTTCTGGCCAAAATAAAAATTTGAAAATTTAGGTTTAAGTATTATTAATTACGTTCTCTTCGACTAAGATATTTTCAGATTTCTAGCACTTCCGGTTATACCGGAAGTTGCCACCTACTTTATTTTTTTAAATGGAACATCCTGTATATTTTTACATATTTGGGGTTGTCTGTTTTCAAGGTTTACGAATAACTTTACTTTTTGCAATTTAATTCAGCCGTTCTCGAGTTATTCGAATTTTTCTAGAAAAATCTGCTCCAGCAAACATTTGTTCAAAAAATCAGAGAACACTCGATTTTTGGGATATCAATTTAGGATTCAGAACATGCTTAAGCAACATGATGGAGTATGTTTTGGTGCCGAGTACGGCTGTGTAGAACGTTTGGCCATTTTACTATGGCACGTTAACTTTCCGAAACTTGGAAGTACCATAACTTCATTTTTTTAAATGGCACCCCCCATATCTTATTACTTAGTCGTCTTCGGTGTCTCATTTTACATCTTTTATATCCCATATGTCCTATACCTAACATTTATAGTTTGGGAGATAATTAGGGTTCTTTGAAAAATGTACACATATCAACGATATTTAACCTAGTCTGCCATGAATGCAGCTTTTGTGCCAGCTTTTTAACTAAAATATTTTCAGGTTCCGGGTACTTGTGGTTACATCGGAAGAGGTGACAATGTTCATATTTCAAATGGAATACCTGTATTTTATTAAATTTTTGTTCAATTTTAGGCCACATGTATGTTACATACACTAGGTATACTTAAGTTGAGTAATTTTTGAGATTTTAATTTTTTGTAATCAAAAATATCAACTACAACGATACTTTTTATAATTTATAACTCATCTATTCTGACCGCCGGAAAAAAAATGTTGTGGTGTCTATGTATTATCGGAGGATCAGTAAGGAAAAAATAAACAGTTTGACATTTGCTAAAGCTATGATTTATTTCTGTTGGTGTGATGACTAGGTTACTTTTTGTAGTGATCTGTTCTCGAGAAGTCGCAATGCTGCCACCAACACATTGCGTAAAATTCTTTGGTATCTCTCTCAATTTAAGTTTTCATCGTAACAAAGAGCGATAAAATTCCAGTTTTAATGTTCTTGATTCCAAAGAAAATGTTCCAAATTCCCGACAATGTTTTAATAGCCTGTGTACAATACCCTTAGTTGGTACGGGATGAGTTGGAAATTCATGGAAATCTTTCCGCGAACAGACGACACACAGTGGTCCACAAGCGGTAAAATGTGAACGAAAATCAAATTTACGAAATTTTTTTTTCGTTTTTTTTTACATGTTATATGTACTTTAGGTCCTAGTAGACTGAGAGGTGAAAGGAATAAAGTATTATGTACTTTCTAGTGCTAACTGTACGCAATAAAACAGTACTACAATTCTTGTGTATTAAATATCATAAAATGCTACAACTTTAGATGAAGAAAATATATTGTGTTCCACTTTTTCAAGACAATGCGTTGTTGCTATCTTGAACAGTATAGAAAGGTCTTCATTTGGCACTTTTCTAATTTTTAAAATATTTTTGCAGAAATACGTAATAAGCACTTCTTTTAAAGCTAATTAACACCTACTTGAAGTTACAACCAAATGTTTTAACATATATATCTCGCAGAAGACGCAAGAAGAACTTTTGTCGCTAGAATATTCTTATTCTTTGAGATGTGCTCTATATAACATGATAACCACATCTTGCTTTAACTTGCTCCTTACCAAGATATTAGCGATCAAAGATGATCAGTGCCTGAGTGTGTTATTTGACTGTTTTCATATAAAATGCTTATATTCTTTTTCTTAAAAGATAAATCTCGTATATTTGGTGTAAACCCGCATAACAATAATAGAATATCAGACTTAAAGTTTCAGGCAT